GCCAGGGTGCCTCACACAGCCAGGGTGCCTCACACGGCCCTGTTCCAAACACCTCCCCATCCCAAACACCTCCCCTCATTCCACCTGAGACACTCTGACAGCCCGGCTCTTACACCCAGACACACACACACGAGCCCAGACAATTTATTTTTTCCACACGTGCCAATTCCCCCCGTGCTGACCTCAGAAGTCATTTCTGAACCCTGAATATGAATTGTTGAAATGGTGCTTGTTTGATGGTGATAACTGGGCTGTTTAAAATTCAGGCTGAACTATTTTCTCCTCCTGGCTTTAAAAATAACAAGTAAGACAAACTGTAGTACTGAAGACACTTCAGTAACTGAAACATCCTCAAGAAACACTATATGCTTTTGGCCTCCAAATGCTTGAGGCTGAGAAAAGGAGGTATTAAGACAAAAGGATATTTTGTCCTCTACAGAGATCTTGTTAAGCAGCCACAGGCCCAAACAACAGCAGTTCAAACTGGGCCATGAATTGGGATTTACCAGTGCATCGGACTTGCACATGTGTGTGCTTCCCCTGCTTCAGAGAGAGGAACGTAGAATATTCTGGAAATATTCTGGGGGATCACTCTGCAGTTAGGACATTTCATTCTCCATATTTCTGGGACATATGTCATGAGTTACATATGGATGTTCTTCACACTATTTACCCTGTCCCAGTCTATCAGCAAATGTACACACTTTAGAAGGACCCCCCTAAGTACACGGTATCAAAACCAGAGTGTCACAAAATGTGGAAATACATTAATTTGGCAAGACTGGGTTGCACTGAAGTCCATGAAGATACTTGCAGTAACCCAGGGACAGGTGCCTCACTAGAAGCAATAAAAACCAAGATCAAGCACAAAAAAGTCCTTCCCCCACTCAGACAGCACTAGAGATCAGCTCTGAACCAGGAGCAAGAGATTCAACTTCCCTAACAGACATTTACTGTCAGTAGTTACAACTCCAGGCATCCTTCATATTTCTGTAAAAAACACAATTTCTTCACTAATTATGTTCTTAAAATCCATGACTCCACAAATTTGCATGTTTCACAGTTAAACATGCATTGTGTAAAAACTTTTATCTTTTACCGCCTGTAAAAATAACACAATGAAGAGGTGGGTTTTGCAGGGAGAGGTCAGCTTTGCACTAGCCTCTTTTGATCAATTTATATTTTTTTACCATCTCTCTTCTAACTTAACTGCATTCAAAACCAAACAACACCCATACCTTTCCACAAGCAGGTTTCTCCCCGTGTGAAGGATCATGCTTGCTGCAGCTCTTTCATTTTGGAGACTTGAACACTGTTTTCAGTACCAGGCAGCCAAAGAGCCACCATGCTGACCTTAGTAAAAGCAGGTTATGCTACACTTGAAATTGTTAGGTTCTTTCCTCCACCACAGCTGTAGATTTACATCTTAGTCCTACTAATTGCCTACTTACAGGTTCAATTTTCAGGGCGTTTCTGTAGCTCCCAAAGAAAGCTGCTTGTGCTTTTAGAAACGCTCTTGCCACACCATCTCCAGTGGTTGTAGAGACTTTCTTCAATCTGTTCTTCAGTGCAGAAACCTGAAATCACACAGCAGGTCTAGATCACTCTCCTATCACAAACAAAGCGTAACACATTGGGGCACAGCTAAATGAAAAACGTGCTAACCACAGCAGCAGCTATGACAAAAGGCGACATTGTGAATTCAGAGTCGAATTTTTCAGTTCTAAAAGCATTACTTTTCAAGCTGTTTTGCCTCTCCAAGATACAATTGGATTCTATTCAGAAACCAATAGGACAATAAAAGCTTCATTGAACCTTCCCTCCTACTTAAAATCCGCTGTTACCATGCTGCTAAGTACTGTTTTAAAGTTAGCCCATGAAGTTCTGTGTCATTTTTGATTAGAATCCATGAAAGAATTACAGATAAATTAGTCAAACATCAGATTAATAAGAGAAACCGCTCTGCATAGCTGGGCCATCCATCACCACCAAGGCTAAGATCAAATTCAGGAGGTCTGAAAAATTTGTTCGCCACAAATCCAAGTTTTTTTTAAGGCTATATTCCCTTGTAGATTTAATGGAAAATAACCCCGTGAGAGCTGTATTTGAGGCTGGGGGGTTCCCCCACTGCCCCTCAGCAGCACTCAGGGAGCCAACATGTACAGCACACTTGTGGGCTCAGACAGGGAGATAGAGACCCATGAGGAAAAAGCTCGAATTAGGAAAATTAATTTAATTTATTGCCAATTAATATACAGTCAGATAGCGAGAAACAAAGACAGAAACTCAGACACCCTCCTTCGTCGCCTGTTCCCAGCTCAGCTCCCCGCCCCGATCCTGCCTCCCCTCTGCCCACACCAGTCCCAACAGCTCCTCCTGGACGATCCTTCCCCCTCACACTCTTCCTCACCCTACCATGGGGTGTTTTGCCTGCTTTCAGATGGTTTTGAAGCAGTTTGTCGAGGGCTGAGCTGTGCCTGCCTCAGCCGCCCCTCAGAGCCCCTCATGGCCCCTCAGAGCCCGTCATGGCTTCTCGGAGCCTTTCATGGCCCCTCAGAGCCCCTCCTGGCCCCTCAGAGCCCTTCATGGCTTCTCAGAGCCCCTCACAGCCCTTCAGAGTCCTTCATGGCCTCTCAGAGCCTTTCATGGCCCCTTAGAGCCTGTCATAACCCCTCATGGCCCCTCACAGCACCTCATGGTCCCTCACGGCCCCCTCTGAGTCCTTCATGGCCCCCACAGCCCCTCACAGGAGGCCTCAGCCCCGTCCCTCCCTCAGTTCTCCAGCGTGTCCCGGATCCAGAGAGGGCAGAGTTGCTTCCTCATCTGGCTCCACTGGTGTGAAATACTGAATCCACGCTGGGCACGGCTTGTTTTCCTCTCAGAACTAGATGTTATCTTTGCACTTGTGTTTACCAAAACAGTTGCAAAGACATTTCCTTTTAAATATTCCGCAGATTCTGCTGTAGGAGGCATTTCATTACAGTTATTTAGTATAACAGAAATAACCAAGAGCGTGTCCAGCACTGTTTATAAATCAGAGTGCTGTGGCTTATGCCAATGATCCGTGCATTAGCGAGCCCACAAACCCACATTAACACAACACACAATACCAGATTTAGTCTCATACCCATAAAATAAGCTCACTCCTATTCACTAAGATAATGTCCCTCAAGGAGCGCTGTAATTCTCTAAATGTAAAAGCTTCACCAGATTTTCAAACCTGAACAGCACACTTCATGTTCAAACAGGTCTGAACTTTTAGAGATGAAATATCCATTTATTTCCTATATTAACTTATGAAAAACCATTTAAAGGTAGTTCTTAAAAGTGCAATAAAATGTCCAGAGCTCTAAGTAACTTTTAAATCCATCTCAAACATTGTTATAAAGGGTTTTCTTTAAATATTAATGTGAAGATACAGAACTTGCCATCTATATAGAAGGAAAAGGCTTCGTTTTAAACAAACCAGAAGTTCAGAGGGCTGGTCACAGCCTTTCTGTGCTTTAGCTCCCCTGGCTGGTACAGAAGCAGAATATTGACAGGTATTTTGATAATTGCTTGAACACTGTAGCATGTCTGTTTTATACATATGCAGGATTACTGCAATAGGTATGCCACAGTATTTTAACAAAAAAAAAATGTTAACAGCATGTTAAAGACACTAAAAAGTAACAAAAAATATAACTCATACTTTCTATGGAATAAATTAGTACATAACTCAAAGAAGATGATATGAGCAGAATTAGGGTTGTTTCCTGCCAAAAGAGGCAGTCATACTTAAAAAAAACCTAAAAGACTGTGACCACTGAAAATGAGGATTATTTCTAGCCAAACAGACACATATACATGCAGTCTACCCTGAGAGTGTTTTTAAAGAAGATTTTTATACTTCTGGCAGCTGAGGTTTAAAGGTCCGATTTCAACTCTCACCATGTTTCAGAATGCAATCTGTGCAATGCAGCAGAATGAAATGGTTCAGTAAAGGTGCTAGTGGAAATTCTTTTAATTAGGTTCAGGGCTTTTCAGTTGTCAACATGAATAAAGCAAGAAACCTTCTACTGCAAATGCAGTGTAAGAAATAAAAACGGATTCACCTTTAGGAAGATGGTTTGGCTGCAGAGTTGTGGTTTGGTACTTCTGGCTGCCCTGGAAGCAGGACATTCATTTCCCTGAGTGAGAGCCAGGAACAGCAGCCTTCTCCCTGTGGTGGGTGGTGAGGGACTGGACAGCAGGAGCTGCATGGTCACAGCACTGATGTCCCCAGGCCCCTGCAGTGTCCCCACACCCTGCCTGCCCTGGGCACACCCTGCCTGCCCTGCCCCAGGGCTCCACAGAACAACTGCACACTGACAGAGCCAGCCCGGCCTTCAGTCCTTGGAATGTGGAGCTCTGGCTACAACCATGACTAGAAGATGACACTTATTTGGAAATACATGAAAAATCCATAAAGGTTGCATAAAAAAGAAATAAATTACTACCCCCTCTTTGCTATTCGTTGCAACACAGACGGTGGTGTAGGAGACTTGTCAGCAGCAGATGCACTTATTGTAATCACAGTCCTTAATAAATCTCTTTTTTTTAATAATGACTATTTTAAAAGGAAAGTTGCTTCCCGGGGTGCTCTCATGCTGCCATATTTTCAGCAATACATCAGAAGCAGAAGGTGAAGGAGGGACAGTTTTTCACATTTCAGACAGTGAATCAGTAACACAGTAGTACACACCTTGATTTTCCTGGCCAGTTCAGGAAGCCTGACAGCCAACAGGTACTGCTGAGGTAAGTGGGGCAAAGAAACTTTATCTGACTCTGCTGGAACTGCCTCTGCAGCTCCTCTGACACAAATGCTAACTGGAAAGACCCTTGGGTAGCCTATGTTTGCTTGGATCCTAGGAATTAAAGAATAGCTCCTTCTAGATTCTCAAGAACCAACAGTTTAGGTAGCAACATCACTGTCATGAAACTCAAGCACAACACACTACCTGAAGCTCTACAAGAACCACTGGACTTCATTCACTTGATTTAAAAAGCTGATCAAGCAGGGGGGGAAACGGCTTCAGAAATTTTCCACTGGATTAATTACCTGATGGTGAATGCATCACACAGAAGATGTTTTTCCTCACTGCTGAATATAGATAGATTTAATTTAGCAAAGTAAATTTTGTCTATTCAGCAGTGCATGAATTGCTCACTGCTCACATTAAGTAGCAAAGCTGACATAGTAGTTTGACATAACAAGCATTTATGATCAGGAAACTCCTGAAGACATTTTTAGTTTCTCAGGTCATAAATGCATCTACTTCGACCAAGACCAGAGGGGAGACACACTCCCAAAATCTCCCCATCCTCCCAGGGAAGCAAGAAGGAAAAAAAAAAAAAGGAAAGGAAAAAAAAAAGTATAATGGATTGGCTTTAGAGTCTCCCTGCTGAGATGAACAACTTGATCCACTTACAGTTCCAAACACATGATGCATGAAAGAACTGACAGAAATTCAATTCTTGCACAGCAGAGCAGCTGCTCTCTAGTGGTCAAAGCCAACTCTGGAACAGTGTGAAGGGAGAGACCTGGAGGGGAAAACTGCCCCATCCAGGTACCTGAAACAATGCAGAGAGCCAGGGCCGACAGAAACCCTCATCCAAAACATTAATTACACAGCGCACCACGACTCGAGTTAGAGCTTTGTTGTGAAAAATATTAATCCCAGCTGTATTTATATGGCACTTGTGAAAAAAACTACCCCACGTACGCTACTGGTGAGCCCTGCCAGTTAATTGAATTTGCTGGCAGCACTTCCTCTGCTCTGCTCTAAACATCCTCCCAGATAAAATGGAGCTTTTAAATAGACCTGTGGAAAACTGAATCAAGAAATTTGAACTAATAAAACACAACTCTCTACTGTTATAAAAGTGAAGTAAAAGTAAATAATGAAAGGAAGGAAGTCTCTTAAAATTTATTACATTCCAAAGCTTGAAGTTCTGTGTTTATTGCAGGAGTCTCTTCTGATGTTCTACAGTGCACCCACAACAGCTCCTTTAATGAAGTCTCATAAAATCTAATATAATACTTGATTGTTGACAAATCATATACATGTTTGAGGCCCCGTGCTCACTGTATCCAGACATTTCTTACATAATTCCATGAAATTTACAGGTCTGTCGTTCCTGGGTTGTGGATAATGGCACGAGCAGTGACCAGCTGGCAGATTTGGATGCTGGGAGTGAAATCAAAACGAAAAACTATATAAAGCCAGAAAAATTCATGGAAGCAACTTTTATAGACTGAATGCTTGGTTAAAGCCAAATTGCTCCCAATCAAGATGGCCCTTTGCCTTCCTCCTGAGCTCCCTGTTCCCGCAGGATGGATCCCACTGTGGATCCCAGGGGAATGCTGGGGGTCACTGCAGGAGGCACTGGGCACTCACCATCCCTGGAGCTGCTCCTCAGACACACCAGCTGAGACTGAGCTCCCTGCATACCAATTTTCTTTCCTAACTGCACATAGAAAGGTTCGGATCTCCCTGTCAGCACAATATTTCCATGGAGCAAAAGCAACCCAGATCTTCCCTGCCATGTTCTCCTAAACATTCACCCTCTGCCCTAAAAGCAGCTTCTTACACTCTCACACACTTCTCTGCTCTTCCCCCTCAGCTTCTTTAGTGGAGATGATTCCAGCAGCAAGTGGGATGGCTTCGTGTCCCATCAAAGGGAAACATCCCATTAAAGGGAAAGATCAAGTATTTATGCAACATTTCTATCAAGTTATTAAAGAAAGCAAATAATTTACCAAGAAAAAGTGCAAATGAGAAAGAAAATAAGTTCTGAATTCTAGCAGTGCATGAAGTGAAGATGTAGGAATCCATTTCACATGATATCACAGGATATTAAATGCAAGAAGTTCTTCAAAGCTCACCTGGAAGCAGTCACAGGAACAAGCCCACCCAATTTCATTTGGAAACAAAAGTTATCTAACAATAATAGGATTTCTAGCTCCTGTGAGCATTGGCTAATTCTCATTAGGAGGCTTCAAAGCATGTCTGCAAATGTTCAAACAGATATTCCCGAACACCTGGGGGAAGAACTGAGGAGCAGCAGTTTGGATCCATCTCTCCACACGTACCACGTCATTGGGGAGGCTCTGCAGGTCATCAAAAGGAGTTTCCAGTGTGTTGGTGTCCACGTTCAGAATCACCACATCCTCCAGGGCCATGCTTCGGACCTTCTACGTGGGAGCAAAGCCAGGAAAAGGGAAGGACAATGTCAGTACGAGGAGCTGGTTAATTTTGATGCATAAAGGACACAAGTGATGGCAGAACATCATGGCATTACAGAGCTTTCAGCATTTTAAAAACAACCAACATTCCTGACTTTGCCATCATTTGTTTTATTTACTCATTTTACAATGCTGAAAAATTAACCTTCAGTTGGCAGAGGGGAGTTCTTAACATCATGCACACTGAAATGTTTCAAACCAGAGAGTTTGGGGTTATTCAAGCAAAGATTTATTTTAAGCACCTCTACTAATGTTTGTCTTAATTCTGGTGTCCTGTTTGCACATTTAGCAGCCTGCAGCTGAGTGAGGATTTCAAGCATAGCTTTTCATATTTAGAAATTCATTTAAATAACAATAAAGAATGTCTTTTCTAGGAGTTAAGAGTTGTAGTAAGTTAGGGATGGGAACTGGTTTCCAAATTCCAGGTTGAATTTTGGAACTCCAATAGAGACAAGTTTACAACTGCATTTAAGTAAAATGGATACCACCAGAGGTTAATTAATTCCACCATATCCTGGTCAGCAAGTCTGAACTTTTTCTCCTGTTCCCATGAATTGAGGGAAAGAAAAGTCTCTAATCTAGTTTGAGGGTTACATCATCTGTAACAGTCCGTGGACACAGAAGAGAAAAGCAGAACCTACTTCTCAAAAGAAGGATCATTAATACCTATAAGTGTCTAAAGGTATCGGTGATCTAAGCAAATTTAAACACTGTCAGACTTGATTTCCCTGCTTAAACAACAGTAAATGAATCACTGATACCAAACAGAGCAGCATTTAAATACTTAACACTTCTTGTACTTAACAGGAGAACTGGATCTTTTTTTCTGACTGACTGAGCCCACAGGTTTAAGGTCTCTTCAAATAAAGCTTTGAAAATTCAAAATCAGACAAAGTGGAATTATAGAATATGGTAATTGAGGCAATTTCCCAGTGACACTGTAAATAAACTTTTAAGTACCTATATACCTACACACACAACCAAATGCAAGTTACTGAGGAGGAAAGTGAACAAAAACATACTCAATTTTTAATTAAGGTTTTGTGGGGTGGGGGGAATTGTTTCCCTTAAAAGAAAGGAACTAAAGTCCTAAAACAATGGCAAAGTTGAGCCTTAGGCAGCTAAATAATTACCCTCAGTTTTCAAGGCTCAGTCCTCTGTCTATAAAGCAAACTGCTGTGTACTTAGGGCTAAAAAAAACAACCACCATAAAATCCACTTTGTAGACATTTAAGTTTAGGTCTTCATGAGACATTTCTTCAGCTTAAACAGAAGAATATTACATTTAATGCTTTCCATATAAAAGGCACCAGTACTGCAGGACAAACCAGGCACTTTGCCTTTCAGGAACCAAAGGTCACTCTGTTGGCTGCATCTGATAAACTCTAAAGCAATCCAGGAGCCTTGCTCCTTCTAGGAGTCCGGAAGCACCAGACAAACTGATTTGCTCCTTCCTGTTTCAGAAAATTAAAAATCTCACTTATACTCAGAGGAGTCTAAAAACCTCCAACAAAAAGGCCTTGCAAAGTACTTAACCAAAGCCAGAAGCTTGTCAAACTCGAGTGCTGGCAGGACAAGACAGGAGGAATTCAAACCTCCTCCTCATTCCTGCCCAAGAAGCAGCACACGCGTGGTGAACGTGCCAGGGGGGGTTTGTAACTCTGGGGACGAATCTGCACCTTCCCTTCAGCTGAATTTGGGGTTTTCTCAGCACAGAACAGGCTTGTTACACATGGATCAGCCAGGGAGCACAGCTCAGGGGGATGCAGCTCATGCTGCAGGGACTGGAAATGCTGCTCGTTGGATCATCCCCCACAGGGCCCAGAATAACTGTACTGAAAGGGGGCTGATCCTAAACTCTGCTCTGCTGCACCTCTGCACCACAGAGAGCTCAGCCCTGCTTTAAAACTCCTCAATATTTGTACCAAGGCAGTGGATTTCCCTCGAGACAAACCCTCAGATTTAATAGAACACCAGAGACTAACTTGATTAATAGCATCTGTCTTGCAATGCATTCGAAAACAAGCAATTTTTTGATGGTACAATTGTGGCTCATCCCAGAGAAATGCAGACTGACCATTTCACCTTAATCCTTAGCTGGTTTTATCATCTCTCCTTTTACTATCATCATCTTTGATAAAGGTATTATCAGACAGTTATAAGGGCTTTTGTCAAATAATCACACGCTTCTTTCACTGAACGTGGCACCCGTCAGCCCAACTGACAGGGAAATAACAGTATGTACTCTCAGGTTGGAATCTGAGTAAAAATTCCCATCATTCAGCTGCATTTCTCACATTAAATCCCACTGGACTCCATGAATCACAGCAACATGTAGATCATTTTTCACAAGTACAGTTTGTGTGTTGTCACAATTTTCTGGAAATTCGAAGGGACAGCCACAAGCCACACACGGCCCCCATCCATATTCCACAGCTTCCTGGAGAGCTAAACAAAATTTTACAAGTAAAGTGATACCTGTTCGACAGACTGGACTGTGTCCAGTATGTTCACATTTTGCTGAAAAAAACGTAGAAAAGCAAAGACCAAGAGGAAACGTGACCATTACAGTTTCCTACAGACCAGGGATGTGCTGAGCCAAAAGTGCATCACATCTCACTCCTGCAAACCTCTCTTAACCATCCCTGCCCAATTACTTGTAGCCATAATTAATCATCTAAAATCCATCTAAATCAAACTAACATCTACACCTGCCTTTTATTTTAAATGTCTCTTTTTAAAAGAGTGGAGAGGTATGGAAAGCTGGTTTAACAAGCTTGCTGAACCCATTGTTTATGGCCTCTATAAACATGGCTTAGTAAGAATTACTGACTTAATCAGAGAGAACTTATCTCCTGGTGAAAAGAGCACTTTAAATTTCAGAAATGGCACCTTTACTGTGAAAATCTCTTAACTTTTCAAACAAACTCCAGGGGGCCTTAAACACCAGGTCCGTAAATAAGCACAGTCAGGGCGCCTGTCCCGCTCCCAGGCAGCCAAACACTTGAAGTCATTTAAGTGTTTTATGTGAAAGTTCACAAAACCAGAGAAACTATATTCTAATAGAAGTATTAAGGGGTGCTCCTCTGTCTCGCTCCCATCACATGCTACCAGCAATATTCATCAATAATACCAACACCAGTTTGCACTAAATGTTATTTTATCACCACTGGCTACAGTTGGCAGGTTTTGCATTTTCTGCCATAAAAAAATCCCCAGTTAAACTTCTTTCAGGTGAACAATTTTATTGAATACTTCAATTAAAAAAAAAACCACACAAAACCAAAAAACCCACAACAACCAAACACCACCACCACCCTCCCCCCCTCAAAACCCAGGTTTGTGTCACTTCATGGCCAAATTGGTGCCAAAACACAAACCAAGTTGATCACGAGGCTTCATAACCAGATACAAAAGTGATCAACATATTAAAGAATGTTGTAACAGTGAAGAGGTAACACACCTTCCACCAATTCTTTTGGAAAGGCAACTCAACAAAAAACTAACATTCTAGCTTGCTTGTGCATTAGATTTGAAATTATTGTAAAAGTATGATTCACAAGAAGCCTAAAATCCATTTGCTTAATGACTTGTCTGTCCTCAGTTAATAGTTTCCATTTCTTTTCCTAAGGAAAACACCCCAACGCTGCAGACAACAGAGTGTCAATCTGGCTGCCAGAAGCAGGAAAGGCAGCGGATATAAAATTTTATTATTTCATGCCCCAACAGCAGCCAGAAGGACTTAATGAAACCCCGCTCAGATTTACAACCTGAAATGGCTATTCAGCAGACAGCTCTGGGTAAGGGGATGTGCCCCCTGACCCCGGGGCCCTTTGATCCGGGCACAGCAGGTGGGCTCCCACCCCCCTGCCCATCTCCCACCTTCCGCCCGGGCACCCTGAGCCTGCACAGGTGATTCCCAGATCCTTATCACCAGCAGCTGCTGCCAACTGAGTGACAAACAGCACCAGGGCTGGACAGAGAGAACCTTCCTTCTGCCTGGAGCTGCAGGGCTTGGCCTTCCTGAGCACTGCCCCTCCAACACCCCCCACTGCAGCCTGACTGAAACACAGTTGTTATTTCCATTTCTCCAATAACTGGATAAAGGAGAACTTCATAAGTAATCTGCCATATTTTAAAACGCATTTTTATCAATACTCCTGAAACCATGCACAGCAATATTGGTAGCATTTGTGAGTTTGGGGTTTTAAGGCCTGGATTTAAGTGTATCTATAACCCCTTCATTTAAACCCTGTGGAAAAGTTGCACTTCTTCACTCACAGGTAGAAAGGCATTGATTTACTAAGAATAATCGGGTGGAAAAAGCTAATTACTACTTCTCATCCCAATAAAAAAATATAATTAACACCACCAGTGGCAGATCCCAGTGGTCACTGAATTCTCAGGGTGTGTTCTGAGGAGGAGGGACCCCCTGGCAGGGCCAGGGCTGAGCCCAGACTGACAGAACTCGTGCTCAGGGCTCGTTAGCTCAGCCTCACACACACTAATTGGGCTCTGACTGGATCCCAAACAGAGCATCCTCACACCTCCCTGAGCCAGAGCAGGGAAATGTGCCAAAAAGTCCTTCCCAAATGAGTGTGTGGGGTTCAGAGGGCCCAGCTTTCCACTCACGTGGCTGCACAAGGGAGAGAGAATCAACACCAGGTGAGATCAGCCACCCTGTCCCACCACGTGGAACACTGCAGGAATTTTAGGGAACCTGTCTTTCCTGACAGGAACATCTTTACTGACACCAGGTTAAAACAAAACCCTGCTCCTACAGCTTTTATGATATCCAGAGTTGTCCTCTTTGCTTAGGAAAAAGGTCAGGAAACCATTCTGAGCTGCAATGGCAACACATTCATCCTGGACAACCTTGGAAGAATTGCAGTTCTGGAGGCCCAGAAAAAGCCCTTGAATGACTGGAGAATTAACAAAAAAAGGGTAACTGTAAATGCTGGGTTTGTGGCCCACATAGGGCAGGAAGAGGGATGGCTGATCCTGGCACAGTTCAGCTGCCAGAGCTCCACATCTCCCAGCCCAACACAACCATCCCCACAGTCAATCAAAACCACATGTGCCCAAATTCCAGCAGGGAGTCCCCGGGGTCAAGGGCATTCCTCCTCCATCAGCACCATCCCACTAATAACCTTCCTACAGAAACAGTTGCTGAAACCATCGTTTACTCTGACAAAATGTAATGGGCTGCAGTGAGGTTTGACACCACTTCCAACACAAAGGTCAATTTAATAGAATTTGAAGACTAAAATAACCTACAGTACAGAGAGAGAAACCAACATTATGGAAGGGGTGTGTTCTTTTGATAGAGGTTCATTTTCCTATCTCATTATTTATCACTGCTAAGTACTTATCTTCCTCTAATATGAATTCAATTAGTTCTGTAAGCATGTTCCATTATTCATGTGATAGCTCCAGCCTTGCTTATCCAACAGCTTATAAACTTTTAGCCTTCTTTGAAGTCACTTTATGGATTGCTAAATGGAAATCTTATAAAGAATGACTAACTAGGTGATGATAGAAAAGCTGAAAAATAAGAGCACAAAACACAGCTCTGTATTTTCTACCAAGGTTTTCCCCCATAAATCAGTTGGAGCCCTCTGACCTATAACAGGAGATTATCTTATCTCACTGGAGAACATTTCAGTCACAGCAAATTAGATTTAACAGTCAATGGATATGCTTGATATTTTAATCATAAGAAAAATTTGTCATTTTCCATTAAAACAACTGCTCCTTCCACAGAGCCCCCGTGGAACACGGGAAACTGCAAACTAACTTCGGGGTACAAAACAGGTTGGGAAAACCCACTGAGCTGAGAGGGGGTATTTTCTTTAAAATCAGTGACATTTCTGCTTCTTCCAGAGGCCCCATTCCAAGACTGGGACAGCAAAACCCACACAAACAACACTGAAGGTAGAACATGATTTTTTCCTGTACCCCAATCCCCTCTCCCCTTCCCAGCACAGCTCTCCCTGTGCAAGCTTAGGCTGCCACCAACATTTCCAGCACAAGGACAGTCCTACAGTGGGAGCTGCTGGGCAGAGCCTGAGCCCAGACAACCCTGGAGTCCCACCTGCCTCAGCTGGAAGGGAAGGCTGGGGAATTAACCCCTTATCCTGACACTGGAACTCGTGGATTTACTCAGAACACTTGTAAAGTCCTATTTGCTGAAATTTCAGCATTTAAAAAAAAAAGGAATACTGAATAATGGCAGTAGTTTGTAGTTCTAGTTTATACAATTATTTTGATATGGAAAAGATAATATATTTTTAAAAATACAAAACTGCTATATCATGAGGAAAAAAATTGCTGTTGCTATTAGGATGTTATTCTAACAAACAAACCACAGAATTTTATATCTACATGTGAAGGAAGGGACAAAGACAGTGAGCCCTGAGCATCGGAAACAGGCAGAGAGGTAACCCAGGAACTGTCCAGCTCATGTGCCAAACATCATCCCTCCCTTGCCCAGGGCACAGAAATCCTGCAGCACTTGCCAGCAGCCAGATCCAAGAGCCACTGTGGGGTTTGATGTTATTTTCCGATGGAACAAGTAGAGTTACTGCAGGATACAGTTCTATCTGTATTCAATTTATCCCTAAGAGCAGAGCAAACAGTTTGGTTTATTTATTTCATTTATTTGATAAGGCACTTGGAATAACTGTACTTTGCCAAAGCGTGTCTGTGTTCCAGAATCTCTGGCTATTCAGCAGCCAGACTGGATTTAGTACTAAACAGATTTTTTCACAAGTTACTAAAATGGATGAAAATTGGCTTCTCCAAGAACAACTCCTTTTTCTGAGTTTTTACAGATGGAGTTTGGAAGGCCCACAGAGCCCTGCAGTCTGAAACACAGAGACAAAGAAGGAGGCACTGGGTTTGTGGAGCAAGGCAGGAGTGAGACATCACACAGAGTGACTCTGAGGTGGAATTCTTCATTGTTTTCCTGCATCCATTCCCAGGCCAACCACAGGCTCGTTGTGAGCACAGGTACCTGTGAGAGCTGACAGTGTCTGCAGGGAGATGTTACCCCACCCTCTGCCAGGGCTGCTCCTTCCTTCACAGGACCACAATAACCACACAGTGATGGCCTGGCACAGACATGGGGCAGGAAGGTTCTTGATCACCATGAAAAATACATTTCTTCCTAGATATCACCTCGCTCCTGCCTGTGCAGCATCCAAGGGGCATTCTCAGAAGCCCCCTGAACACAAGCATGTGATGTGCAAACAAATGCACATGTTGCCTTTAAAATAATTGGTAACTCACTACCACAGCCTACTGCAATTCTGTACTTTATTTAGCAACATAAAGGGCATAAAAAAATCATCTGTGCCCAGGATGGTAAGGAAAAGAAAAAAGACATTCTGCACATTCAATCTCCTCATGAAAAAACTGACTTCTAAAATTACTTCACGTTATTGCTGGGAAAGGGGGGAGTTCCACAGCACACACAGACACAGGGCATCATTATTACACACATCTGCCCTAGTGCAAGAATATTTGATAGTATTTCCAGAGAAATGACACAATACAAGAACAATTATCCCAGTAATTCACGTTCCTTTACGTGATGTAAACCCAGCTTTCCAAACTGTTCTGTATCCTGAACACAAGGGCTGAATTTCCGGGGATCTAAAGCAGGGACACAAGTCAAATAACCTCCAAGGGCACATGCAGCTCTCACCAGTCCACCCCTGCAAACTTAGGAGCCCCCAGGAGGCAGGAATTGCCTCTTCCCCCCCAGAGAACACACTCCTTGTTCAGGCTTCCCGTGCAAGGGGCTCAGCCAACACTGACGAGCGTTTTCACCGGGACCTGAAGGAGCCCCCAGATACTTCTGAGGAAAGTCATCCACTGTTTCACCAGTCAAAAGCAAATGTGTTATTTCCACTTTTAGAGTTTTTAAAAAGTCACATGAAGTACTGGGAATTGTTTATAGGAGAAGCTTTCTGTGAGGGCTGGTTCTCTGCCAGCTTTGTGTTAACATTAACAGCAAGTTCCTTCTTTTCAGATCTTTCGAACATTAAAAAAATTACAATCTGTCTGCAAAAGCCTAAAAGAGAACTGTAACTGTCAACATTGTGGTTTAATATCGACTCTGCCTTCGTGATTCAGTCAAAGCAAGGCACTGAAGGGACTAAGTGGAGCCCCAGGATGGGGAGGGGACACGTGGTGAGCTCGTCACCGCGCACAGAGGCTGCCCAGGGAGCACGGGGAGCACACGGGGCTCCTGCAGGTTCACCATCCCCACGTGGGCTTAACTCCCTCAGCACACCCACATTAACAGCATCAGTTCATTTTTAAGCATATGAATGAATGTATAATTGCTCGTGGAATTTGGCTCTAAATCATTACACTACGTACAGTTTCAGAAACGGTGAGAGAGACTTACCTCCATCAAACTCAAGTGTATCCCAATGAGGTAGGGCATGGGGGCACTGCAGAGAGGGAAAAAAAACAGCTTTACATTCCCACAACACTGGAATCACACACACAACTTACAAAACTAGCTACAGGAAAACACTGTGATACTGGACTAGATTTTGCTGAAAAATTAATATATACATAGATATATAAACAAACCACGTGTGAACAAAATGTTATTCCCGATTTGAAAGACTGTTTTTACAATGCAATATCCTCTCAGGCCTGTAAGACTTTAATTTTTCTTGACAGAAGAATTTTCAAGTGCCTAAGTTCAGGCAGGTACCTAAGGACAGATACTAAACATATCTCTAATAGTGGAGTCTTTTGTTAAATAAAACAAACAAAATGTGTTATTGCAATTTTAAAAACATACCCAGAGTTTTCTAAGAGCATTCTTTCAAAAAATGCATCCTGTTGTAGTGTCAAGTGGCTAATTTAGTGTATATGCATCACCTGGTACGACAAGTTCTGAATTCTTTGAATGAGTCCAGACATATTTTTAGGCAATTCACTTTCAAGTATAAATCTCGACACATTTACATTTATAAAAGAAAACACAAAAATTGCTTCTGAAGATTCTGCTAAACTCCAGAGTTCCAGGACATACACTGATAGCAACACCCCCCTCAGAACACAAAACCTGGATACCCCCAGAGGCTCTGAGGCCACAGTTCATCCCCCAGCACAGGGTGATGCTTTTGCTGGTGACCAGAGTGGAATGTTTCAGGCAGACTGATGTGCTCAGTGTCCCTGCCCAGGGCCAGCCCAGGGACTGGGGCTCTGGGTCCAGCTTCCAACACTGAGCCATGGGAGCCATCAGGGAGGTGCCAGAGCTGCTAATTGCAAATATGGCACATCCTGCCTGCGAAACAGAGCAACACAGACAGACACAACTTCTAAAATAGAGCCTCCCTTCGCTTTGGATGCAGCAGCTCAACGAGCTCATTTTCGATTTCAGATGAAAAAATGAGAGAAATGTCACTGTACTGCCTTGGATTAAAATATCTCCCATATTGCTGCTCTGAGCTGATGCCTACTGCTCAGTAAGAGCAGTGCAGTGCTGAAAAAACCCCTGAGACACCAGAACAGCAAAATTCCTGCTCCTCCTTTTCCTGAAAAATACCTTAAAATATATATTTACTGATAAGCATATTAATATTTATGTTGTTTATTTACACACCCCCTCAAACAGCCATTCTGTCGGATGCTCCACTGAGGTGGAAGCAGCCTCTGCATTAGACATTCTATATGAGACCACTTTTTTTTCTGTTTGAAGACATTAAACCCATGTAACTTCCAGAGCCCCTTCCCAGTTCCCTGGGGAACACTGGAACACATCCCTGCAGGAACTGCACGAGAACCCCCTGCCCTGCAGCCCCTTGTGACAGAGCCCAGAGGGGCTGGTACAGCAGAGACTGACCCCGAACCTTCTGATTCCTTGGGAATTCCACGGGTGAGAAGCACAGCACACACCCAAGCCCTTGGACAGGAATTCCCACCACACACCAGGACGCTGCCCCGGGACACACGGAGTACTCAGCTGAGCAGAGCTGCTGCTGGTCACTTTGCACGTTTGGTTTGTGGCAAACACCATCTCTTCATTTCCAGTGGCCAAAGTCCAGGAGCGAGAAAATTCCCAGGAATTTTATACCCGGGGAACAAGGCCGGGTTTGGCTGCACCGCGTCCCGTGGGCTCTGCTGCCGCGGCTCCTCCCGTTCACCCACCCCAATGTGGTTCCAATTAGGAACCTCCAGGAGCTCGGCAGCTCCGAGCCCCAGAACGCAGAGTCGGAACCTCAGCAGGAAGTCTAAAGCCTGCAAATGCCTCAGCTCGTGGAGGCTTGGCAGCTGGAATGGAAGGAAGCAGGAGGAGTGCAGGATTCCAGCAACCCGGCAGGGCAGAGTCTGTCACCCAGCACAGCAACATCTGAACGGGGCAAGGGCTTTAACTGCATCACACCCATTTGTGAATCCTCCAGTTTATCAACAAAAGAACAATAAGAATGTCTAAACCTAAAAACCAGGCACCTCCAGTAGGATTTTAATGAATTACAGACAAGATCTGGCTCAAGATACATGGATCAGCTTTGGATGGAAATTGTGGAGTGACAGACATTACATGGAAAGGCAGCACAGCACATAAAACAATTACAGGGACAGCAAAAATAACCCCAATAAAATATAATCTGGTAAAGAGCATAAATATTTCCAATAAAATCTACCAGGGAGATTCTATTCTTCTGTCATCCCTCATTGATCTGACTGAAAAGGAAACACACCTGGAAGTAAATGTTGAAGGTTCATGTCAGGCTTCATAAGTTGCTTTTATCACCATTTCTCTTTGCCATGAGTTAATCATGTGCCATTATTTAAATGCTCTGTCACCATCCTGTGCAGGGGAACGTGGTGTGTGTCCCCCTTCCCTGCTCAGGGCACACACAAATAGTTCTTCCTCACTGAGATTCTCGTCCTGAGACACGGAACACTCACGCAGCTTTTAATATTTCATCAGGTTAGATGGTACTTCCAAGACTTTCAAGGGAAGTTCAGTGAGACACATCCCTCGAACAAAGGGAGAAACACCCGGCACAAGCTTTAATCCTTCGGGGAGCCCCGGCAGATTAAAGGCTGCCCTTCGGGCCAGGCCTTCCCACTGCCCGACACTTCATCAGTCCTGGGCCTTCTTACAGCCCCAGCTCCTAATGACTGCGGGTTGTTTGCTGGCAGCCCACAGCCATTAAGTGCCAAAGGCACAAGTATCAATTCCTGAGCCCCTGGAACAAAGAGAGGGGTCGTTCCTGCTCCGAGCTGCTTCCCAAGGCAATCAGCCTTATTTACAGTCACAGGAGTTACAGAGGTAAATATCCAATCAGTAAAGTGGCACTGCCCAAGCATGAATATGGATTTTGGGGACATAATGGCTGTAGAGTGCCCATTTATTACAGTTGCATTTTTACAATTTCTTTAATTCGTATGAATATGGATTTTGGGACATAATGGCTGTAGAGTGCCCATTTATTACAGTTGCATTTTTACAATTTCTTTAATTCGTTTCCTTAGGCAAACGAGAGACCTTTTAATTATGCTCCCAAGAGGTGGGCAACTGCTAATTGGAAGAGAAGCAGGTGAAACAGAGGGACATTCCTTCTTAAGTGAAAAAGCCCAGCCTTAAAAAATACTGCAATTCACCAGAAACAGCAACGTAAAAGCCTGGGGATCTCCAAAAGGTTCCTATTTACAGCTACACAGGGACTGCACCATTTTGCTTCCTTGTTCCAGGAAAATGGGTGAGATCACATTTCCTAAGTCCATGTCTTGCTATTCAAACACTGACCTAAGGGGTGGCTCTCTCCCACCAGTGGTACCTCCCTCTCCAGGGCAGTCTCCTGATTTCTCCTGAGATCCCCTCACTGAAATGCAACAGAATTCAATCCCAAATTTATTGGGGTGACTGATACAAATCAGAAACCTGACTGCATACATTGGAATGATGCAGAGAACACACAGGCACAGAGCAGGAGAGCAGCTCCCAGAGCCTTCAGGGAGTGCCCAGGTGTGCCAGGCAGTGGCAGTGCCACCCAGAGCCCTCCAGGCTGCAATCTGTGCATCCAATGACAGTGTCACCACCAGTTTCTAGTCTCCTCCCCCCAGAATCTTTCCCTGGGCTGAAAACATATCAAAGAATGGTGCCTAATCAAAAAATAAAATTAAGGACAGCACTCCTCCTCTTGCTTCCCCTCCCACACCCTGTCCTCAGCTAATCTGCATGGCAGGGATCAGAGGAGTGAAGTCATTCCAGAGCCATGGATGCACCCCCAGCACTGACTCAGCAGCCCCAGCACAGAGTGGGGGTATTTTGGAGCATTTTGGAGCGTTTTGGAGACACAACCTTCTGGCACCTCCAGCTCTGAGGGTGGGCATGTCAGGCAGCAGTGCAGGGGAACAGAAATATTAAGCTTAAGAAAATCCTTTCAAGAGGGAAATGGGAAGCAAAAGGCAAATAATCACAGGTGGAACACACTTTTTTTCCAAAAACTTTCAAAGATCACGAGTGACACAGTCTATCCACCCTTCTGCAAGTTTCAAAAGAGCAGGAGAAGATTCAAAAGCATCACAGCACAGTCAGTAAAAGGGCACAGCCAACTGATCCACATGATATTCTGTATTCATAAGAACTGAAGAATTCTCATTGCTTTAAATTTTGTTCCCACCTCGGCTCTCTAAAATTCTTACGTCATATTTGCAAAGGAAATAACCAGGCAACAATTAAAATTAAATTAAACTCTTCTATTTTGAAGTATCTCAGGTCATTTCCCTCAAGAGGCAGACACCAGTAAGCAGAAATATTGCCTTAAAGCAGAGAGCAGGGAGCTGATTGCTCAGTCCTCCCAGGCAAAAATGGCATCTGCAAGTTCACATGGTTACAAAATAGATGGACTCTATTTTGAGAAATATATTTATGGTACATAAACTGTTGCTAAATTGACTTGTTCAAACAATGACAGAGTGTGCAGCCACCTCTCCAATTAAAGCTCCTCGCTGGGGAAGGCAATCAGTTGTATTTGTGAGCAGGCAATGACACCCTGCCCCACAGCCTGGAACCCCCCTGTTCCCAGGGCCTGCTCCCTCCTTCCCTGGCCAGGAGAGAACCCACCCAGTGGGGCCCAGGGACTTGTGGCTTCCCCTCCTGGGGTCCAGTGCCCCAGGGTTTGCTTTCTGCCCTCCCAGGGCTCTGGGCTCAGTCCCCTTTCCCAGGTGGATGGGTAACCAGTCTCCTAAGCCAAAGCCTCTGAAGGAGGTTTAACTCCTTGAGGAAGCCTGAGGTAAGGTCACTCATTCCCCTCAATGAGGTAAATATCATGTTCCAAACACACACTCCTAGTGAAAGATCACCACAGGAAAACAGGGGTTTTTTTAAATAGTTTTTTTTTAAATTGTTTTTGCCCACCCCCAACAGAAGTTCAGGAAAGTGGGAAAATGAGAAAAATGTATCCTGTTGGAGTCTTAATTCACATTGGAATATTTAACATGGACATGCTGAAAACAGAGTTTAATGACACAATATCTGAGTTGCAGCATTCCACAGCAACCACTCCTCCTATCAGACTGTTTCAACACACTGACAGACAGTCATCTCTTGCCATAAATATTTGTACTTACTGTGTTGGTGCCTCCCTAATACGCTGTATTTTTAGAGTAACAGTTGCATCATAAGAGCCCTCGGGACACCCCACAGAAAGGTGAGCACTGCTGTGAGTCCCAGGGGTACACACACACATCTCTAACACACAGACACGAAGGTGGCCTTACCAACAGTAGTCCAGCAGATGTGGGGGCAGGACAGGGATGTAAACGTGCTGCCAGAACATCGGGTAGAGCATGGCTGCAGAGCCATGGATGCAGGCAGTTAACTGAAAAACACACCAAAACTGCATCAGAAACAGGCCAAGCCCCAAGGCTCACATGGCAAAGTTAGACACAAAGTAAAGAATCCATTCTGCTTTCATATCAACGTGTTTCATTGGAAAATAAAGAGCTGCTGTTAAAAAACAAGGGGCTCGGGGGTGAACACGAGGGGTTTGTGGTGGTTCCCATCCAACTGACTTTGTGAACAGCTGAGAACATGATTCACTCAACAAACAAAACCTGCAAAGAACACCCAGTATTCTGTAAAGCAACAGAAACATGGAAATGAAAACTCAAATGGAACTAAAGGAATAGTAGAGGCAAATCCCCAATCCTGGAAATTACCATCCAATAGATATCATAAAAATGCACTGAAATTATAACACAAACTGAAAAACACATATCACACCAAACTCAGTGATTAAATCTTGATTATTTAAAAGGGGTTTTTGTCTAATGGCTCTTCATCTAATCATTTGATCAATTGAATTTCTCAGTTATATTGTTAAAAACACATGAAGAAGAGTTTTGATATGGGCAAGTACTGAAAGAGCAAAGGCAAGTGCCAGTGAAGCCATGGGGAGAATCCTCACAGAGGAAATTACTGCTCTCAACCCTATTTCAAACGATAATTATTAATTTGGAAGAGAAGATATGCAGGATATTTGTCACATTCACTAAGGATATTAAAATGAGAAGGTGGTAATGCTCAGTAAGGAAATTCAGCAAAAGCTGTGGAGAAAATAATGTAAGGAGAGGATCTGAACAGCCCCATCCAAGCCACGGGCTCAGAGGTGACAGCAGCCACAGCCACCCTGCCCTGCTCAGCACTGCAGTGTCCCTTCACCTGCACTCCTGCCCAGGATCCCCTGAGAACCTGCTCACAGGCACTGAGGACACAGAGCCCAAGGGACTGAGGTCCCCGTGGTGGCCTGAAGGTGTCCGAGATGAAACCAAGCACAGACACATCGTGGCATTAATCCAAATTCAGTCAGATGTGGAGTAGCCCTTAAAAAAGAAGAGATGACCCTCATTACTATTAATTTCCACTAAGAGAGAGAGCAGTGAATTAGAGAGCTCTCAAAGGGAACCCCTGGCTGGGGAAGGAAAGGGTGGATGAGCCAGTCCAGGATCTTCAGGTTCCGTGTCAGGAACATCAGCCACGACCAGGGACAGTTTGGGGTCTGTTCTCTGCCACAGCCCCTCTGTGCAGCCTCTGCCAGCACCAGCTCCTGGCTGTCCCACTGAATGCAGCTCACTGGGCAGGAGGGTGGGAGACAGGCCTGTATTTTATGTGTTACCTTTATGCCTCTGAACAACACAGTCAGCTTTTTACCTTTGAGAGGATCAAACTCTCCTATGACACAAAAATTTCTTCAGTACTTGGAAGAATTCAACATTCTTCAATTTCATCTACATTTTCAAAGAGTTTTAACATTTGAGCATGGATTTCTTCTGCAAAGATCATATTTACTCTTCCCCAGTAGCCTCTGTTCATGCATTCACTAGTTCTAGTCCTCACTGTGACAGGTTTCAAGTTTTTTCATAAAAATGTAGCTCAAAGAGCTGTAGCTTCTTCAAGGGAGAATGTTATCACACCTGACTTTCCACTCCAAAGACAAATTTCTGAAAAGAAAGTGTCATAACAAAAGAGTCCACAAAGCTCCAAAGCATCCCAGTGCTGATAACAAGTTTCCAGAAGTGAGAATATGCAAGAATTTAAACTAGATTTGAACCACCATCCCAAGGAAACTGTGCCTTTGGGAGCAGACAGGGCACAGCAAGTACCTGTTGAGTCTCTCTCAAAACAAGCTCTTCATTTGCAGGTGAAGGTTATTTAGTGGTCCATATGAGATGCAAATATTAAGATGCTGGGATACTAAATTTAGAAGCTACAAAATCTAGAGTTTATTCTGGATTTATGACTCATGAAGCACTCAAGATTTATCCCTACCCCATTATATTTCAACTTATCTTTACATTATTCCTACAGGAGAAGATGCTCCTCTCTCACAGATCAGATGAAAGGCATTGACTAATTCCACAATGTGCAGCAGGAAGAAGGGGGAATGCTTTCCCACTGCAGTTTTCCATCTATATTCCTGAATCCTTCCCCAGCCACAATGCTCAGCACTGCAGAGCTCTGAGCAGAGCCTGGCACCCCCTCTGGAGATGTCCTCCCACACTGGGACGTGGCAGGAATTCAGGTCACACCCAATCACTGTCCTGCAGCTCTGACCTGGGGAGGGCTCAGGATCTGCTGGACACCTCCCCTGGTCAGAGACTCCATCCAGGGAGCAGGGCCTTTCCAGGGAAGAGGGCCTTTCCAGGGAAAGGGCCTTTCCAGGGAACAGGCCTTCCCAATGAGGCAGCCTGAGAAACACCCAACTGCCACAGCTCTGGGAATGCAGCACTGGAATCACATTAGTTCCACTGCCCCAGCTCCGAGCAGCTGCTGCTGGAGGGGAAAGGGGATCTCTGTGGAGGGGAGACACCAGGCACTGGGCACTCCTTGCAGTTTGACATTTAATACTCTGAAAGCCTTATCTGAGCAAATGAAACCAATGGGATTTTGTCACCCACTGATGCTGAACCACCCCCGGCCATTCCCGGTGCCTGTCCCTGCTCCTGACACACACACTGCCCGGGCTCCCAGGGTAGGATGTGCCTCCCAAGGGGCAACACAGACACTGAGCAAAGACCCACCTTCTGCATGGCTGGAAGAGCTGCTTCTTTGGCATTATTTGGGGCTAAGAACAAAGCAGAAATCTGAGCTACACAAGAGTCAAGCAGTAACAGCAGGGCTGTCACAAAGGGAGTGTGTGAAGGTCCAGACCTACAGAGACAGGAACAGAGCTGGGGCACCAGAGCTGGGCAAGTTCTGAGCTCTGGGGCATCCCAGGGACATGTGGTGAATCAAACCCATCACAATGTTGTTCCATTTCCTTACCCTCAGAGCCCTGAGGCTCCTCAGACCCCACCAGGGAGTAGGAGGATGTATCAGAGCTTCCCATGATGTGGGAGGAGTGGCAGGGGAAGCTCAGCTCCCTGGAACAACAGAGCATCCATGGGAGTCTTTGCTTTGCACTGACACTGCAGAGATAACAGGCAATGGGGCAAAGAAACCTCCCTCAGGGTGCTGGAGCCAGACAGGAACACCCCTGAAATGGCCAAGCCTAAGTCTGTTCAGAGTTTCCATTCCCATAATGGGACACAGCCTGCTGCTGCCTCCAGCCAGGGAACACCCCTGGGGGTGGCAGGGCTGCAGTTCTGATGGAAAAGGGAATTCGGGATGCAAGGACAGCTCCAGCCTCATTTTGCAGCAGCATGCTCCCACCAGCAGGGGGGATGCTGCCAAGCACTGGGGGTTCATGCATTTTGGTTCATATCTGGCTTTTCTTGAGGAGTTAGATCACAGAATATGTAAGGAAATGTAACAGCAGTAATTGCTTTAACATTTGGAGAAATTATTTGCATTTCCTTTCGTAGGAAAACAGAATAAAATCCAAGAAAACACCAATAATTCTTCTGTGGGTTCAGTACACATGATTTATAAAACAGCTAATAAACACAGCCTCATTCTAAATCTCATTCAACTAAAGCATGTAAGGATGTTGAAAATCAAAATCTGAATTTGAGATGATGTGTTGTAGCTCTGAATGCACCCCACCATAAAAGCTTTTCCACCCAGAATGGTTTAACTCTCCCTCTCTCACCTGATACCAAATTCAAGCCCTAAGCACAAAGTGTGTCTCCCAAAGTTAAAACAAATGAACTGCAAACAGGTCCCTTCCACTCCCTCGCTGGAGAACGGAGAACTCCAGACAAAGGAGGCAGCCCCCCCAGCCCCACCCACCCTGCTGCACTCAGAGGATTCTGGGTTTGGTTCCTTTCCAGTTACAAGGTCTTGGCTTCCACTGAGCACAGTTTGAAATAAAATAATGCAGCTTGTTCCTACTGCTGGAACCCGCCGAGCAGGGAATCGCTGGCTCCGGCCCAGCCTTCAAACCTGTCTTACACTGTCACTCCAGGCTTGGAGCACTGCAGATATAAAGTTGTAAGCTAAGAACACACAGTATGAACACCCCTCCCTCCCCAGAACCAGACACGCTTTTATCTTGGACAGAGGCAAAAGGAAGAGAAATAGCAGAAAGATAGGGAAAAAAAACCCCAGCCCCACTTGTGAACTGGCTCATTAAGGAAGGCAAAGTGACAGGTAAGTAATTCCTCTTCCCAGGCTCTGTCACAAAGGGAGAGATTAAACCAACCAACCACACAACCTCTGAAATGCTTTGGGCAGCCCTTCTCTTCTTCCCTCCTCTCTGATCATTTGCTGTTCTTTTCATTCTGCAGGTTGCTGAAATAAACACCTCTCCTTCATTTTATTCCATTACCTGGACAGATTTTTCCTTATTTTAGCAGCGATGACACAGAACACTTGGCAGATATAGAAGTTAAGATTTTGCAAGTTTTCTACAGTATTAAACTTCATAATACTTAAATGCTTTCAGTTAAATGTGGGGTTGACTGTAAACATTATTAATAACTATTAATAGGTCCCAGAGATTATTCTAATTCTCCTCCTTTCGCTTACCCTTCAAAATGACACTGCAGCAGTTATTCTGGGATTTGGTATGAGGCTTTACTCTCTCTCACTTCCCTGCCCTGTGCTGACAGACCACCCTACATGGGTTTATGGACACCACTTCAGCCTTCTCGAGCATTGGCAATTCCAGGGAGCAGTTTTAATCTCAGACACAAAGCAGGTCATGGCCATACAGTCAGAGCCTGGTTAATGCCACAGAGATGGAAATGGCAGCTCTGTCTTAGGCAGGGCCACTCAAGTGCTCAGTCCACAGCACTAGAAAGCAAAATTAGTTAAACCATCTTCGTCACTCACAAAGGACAGCAATCAATAGCCTTTTACAGAGCAAACACAACGACCACGAAGCATTTGCTTTTATAAGGAAAATCACAATCTTATTGACTGCTAAACCTTGAAATGCAGAACACCAAACTTTGAACTGAGCAGGCCTGTGCTCGTTTTGATCTCCAGCCATTTTCAGAAGAGAGTACTCCAGAATATTCAGCAGCTTTCATCTCTCAGACACTTGATGGAGCCTAAGTAGCACTAAGACTAAACCTTATCAAACACAACTGCAAAACTGTGGATTGTCAATGTACTCCAGCCCACTCCCCTGCTCCCTCCGGAGAAGGTCACTGTGACATCCATTTGACAGTGTCATTTATCTTTTTTTTTTTCCTGTCAAGTAAATTATGAAAAAAGGACTTCACTATGGCATAAGCCTTTGTACATTCACGTACCAAACAACCCCAAGAATTCCTGTATCCAAAAAACCCTTTCTCATTTGAACATCAGAGGCCAAGAGAAGTGCTGTAAAATCCTCACACACAGGCACAGAACTGAGCTGAGGTTGCATAAGTGAGACTGAAAGGGGGACCTGGAGATAATCAGATAATTTCCAATACATGACTGCAAAAAAAAAAAATAAATTAAAACTACTGTGACTGGAAGAAAGTCTTGTGCATTTTACTCACAGTGCTGAGCTTGCTGCAGCAGATGAGGATGCGGCGCTCGTACAGCATGCTGGCGTAGAGGTGCAGCATGTTGTTCACATCCACTGCCACAAAGTACTCTGTCAGATTCCTCTGGGAAGAGAGAACAGAAGTTTTGATTCACCATATCACAAAACCAAGTGTCCTTAGCAAAAATAAAGCCAAACAACTAAAAGGCAAACGGATTTCACTCTTCTGTTGTGCCACAATTCCACTCCTGCACTGTCACTCCATGCCCAGGCCATCCCCTCCCCCTGTGCTCGTGCTGCAGGGCACAGCTCGTGGGGCAGGACTGAACACTGCAGATGCCTCCTAACAAACAGCACAATGTGATCCTGAGATCTTCACTATCAAAACCAGAAAGCCACCACAGGGGCAACTGGATCCCAGCGTGTTCTGCTCGCCTAGAACGAGGGGCTCCCCAGGGCAAGGTAAAGAAAAAAGGATTTGTGTGTGGAGAGGGTATTTTCACTTCTTAAAACATAGAAATTAAAGAAAAGGGGCATTGTGGAGGAAAAGGTAATACACCCAGAAATGCTGAATTAGGGAATTTGTTTCCAAATAGCTTCTTACAGACATGAAAGGGTTGCTATATGATAAAGACAGCCTTATACAAAAAGCACATGTGAGAGCAAAATTAGATTAGTCATGAATTCAAGTGCAATCTTAATCATCCTTAAATAAAAAAGTGCAGAAAAGCAAAAAGCAAATATGATTTAGAAACTTAAAGAAGCTCAACAAAGCCTATTAGCACTTTTGACAGATCCAAGATACTTGGCCTGAGAAGTCTGCCAAGATGCTTCATACTGTGCAAAAATATGTTCCCCAGCTTGCCATCCAAACACAAAGAACTGAAGGAAAATTAAGCATTGTATTTGGGAGACTTTGGGACCAGGATGTAGGGAGACAAAAACTGGGTTCATTATGGTTGGCTTCAAATATGTACAATAAAACAACCACCCAGGTCTTTGTTACAGCAAAGCTGGAGCCACAGACAGGTACAGTCAAAGGAGGAAAAAAAAAGCCAACACGTTTTGCCAAAAACCTATTAAACTATCATGTACTTTTTCTGTATTTCTCATCCCATCTGTGCTGATTAACATGATATTTTTGTCTAAACATAAGCTGTCTTCTCTACGGCTCCTCTTCCCCCTCTCACCCAGCCTTCCCCGACGCCAAAACACGGCGCGTGACGACACAGCTCCTGCACACTGGGGGAATTAAAACCATTTTTAAGGAGCCCTGAACTTTTGTGCCACCCAAATCAGGGGCACGCCAGAAGGAGCACACAGCCCCTGCATCCTGCCTGGGGAGGAGCTCTGCTCCACAGGGATGTGTGTGTGAGGCACCCACTGGGAGAGGAAAACAGACGTGGGACTGGACTCGCGATTGTTCCTGCACCGAGTGCACTGTGGTGGAATGACACACAAATGTACCTTCAGATGGGAAGATTTGTGAGGTTTGAGTCCTGTCTGCTCTCAGAGATTTGCCAAGGACACCTGGGAAGCATGTGGGCTGCATGGAAATGTATTGGTACTGAGGAGGCTCACGTGTTCCCTGGGAGCCGTATTTATGAGAAAGCTGTCAGCTCTGAAGCTCAAATTGGGCCTTACACATGTATTTTGAAAGACATGTCTCGTAAGTGACAAAACCATGAATGAGTTAAATAAATACAAATGAAAGCGTTCCAATTTGCAGGATAATGGTTGGGTATTTTGTTTCCTAGGACTGAAACCTTCCTTGGGGCAGGAAAAAGTGGGGTTTTCAGACCAGACACAGGAACAGGTATCCCCACTCCTCAAAATTCATCAAGAGTGCCACAAAACTCCCTCATGCTCCTTTGGAAGTTCGTTCCTAGATCAATCATCCATTTGATCATTTGCTATCTAATATCAGTAAATGCACACTGAGTTTTGAGATTAAAAATCACAGACTTCTCTTCCACCATCATCTAACGAGGAAAAGGGACTCAGTGATACAAAAATACCCCAGAGTATGATCACCAAGAAAATGTCACCATTTCAGCCTGTTAATCTACCTGATACTTCTGAAACACAACAGCCACTCCCAGGAAATTTAGTCTCACACTGCATTTCCTGCAGTGACCCCGATCATTTCTGAAGCCACAATGCATTTACATGTCCCTCACATTAAACTCATTAAACACAGGGATCTGACACCAAGTCAGATAATTCCAAGAGCCTTGTTAACATTCCAAACAGAGCTCTGTGCAGCTCTCCATTCATCATCGCATCCAACTTCAAAGTTTGGCACTACTAAAACTTCTGCTAAATATGGGGTTCAAAACGTAATCACTGATAAGAGATGTGGAATTTTGAATAAATCAAGTCCATTGATTAAAATACATGAAGACTTAGGCCCCTTTAATGTCCTTGTATTATCAGGTTTTAATTCCACATGAAAGCGGCATTAACACCCAGATAAAAACCTCCTAAGAAATTATACAATATTCATTAGGTAAATATAAACATGAGAAATGCCTGAGAAGTAGCAGAGAGTCAACTGCAGCTGCAGTTAGACCAGTGCACTTGATTTGTAGGATTTTGCTTTCTTACAATGAGCCCCAGCCCTTCTGATCTGGGCAGACACAGACACACGTGTTGGCTCACGGGTCTGTCACCCCAATGAAATGTCCCTCTCCTGTTCCCAGGGGGGCCCTGGCTGTCCCCAGACCCTGCCCAGCCCACCTTGGCAGGGACAGCAGGACACCTGATAGCACCAGGCACCTCCAAGGCCCATCAGTGACTGTGAGTTAGGACAGGATTTGATAGCTGGTTTAGATTCAGGAACTGAATCTTGAATTACACCCAGTGTATTTGTATTTGTACAAAAATAAAGCACTTCAGAAGAAAGAGCTCATCTATTAAATTCACTGACAGGATCCGTGTCAGTAGAAGAGTCTGCAACACAGAGAAGCCATCAGCAGTGTTTTGAAAGAGAAACAAACAGCCCCAAATGCTATCTGCTATACAAATCATCCCTAAATGAGATGAAATGTCTTGATGATGCCTTCTCTTTCTTTCATGCCTCAGCTGAGGTATTTGATGCTCAGACCGAGCACACGATGCTCCAGGAAGAAAACTGGGATGTCAGGCACAGGAATTTGGCTGAGACACAGAGGGAGTACATTAAAGAGCACTGAGGAGAGGCAAATGCCAGCATTGTGTTCCCCCAGCCCCATCCCCTGGCTGGAGAGCCCAGCCCTGCTGGAACATCTCAGATTCGTGAGGCTCCAACAGTCTCCAGAGAAGTGGCTCTGAGATCAGACGTGTGTGACATTTTCAGAAGCCAAACAGGTTGTTTTCCCTGGTTTTCCTTCCCGAGGGGTCCCAGTGCAGGATTAGCAGATCTGCTGTTTCTGCCCATTTCCACATGGCCATAAGTACTTTGTCCTTCGTGCAATTCAGTTTTTAATCACATGTGCAGATTGCCAGCTCCTAAAGCTCGGTATTCCACAGGATATAATCCATGACTACCAAACTAACATGTGTTATCTGTGTTGCTGTGACATTAAATAGAAGCAGTAAAGTGCAGGGTCCTCTCAAATACTCACATTTTCAGGTATACTGGGAAGCTCTCTGGTGTCAGGCACAGTAAAGTAAGAGTGCTACAAAAAGAGAAAATATTGATTATTGCAATTCAGTGCCTCGTGATCAGTCCATAACCTGAAACAGCAAGTGGGTCCAACAGCCACACTGAATACAGACACTATAAACACCATTTCTGCTTCTGATGTGTCACTGGTTTGGTCTGGTTGCAAAGATGCAATGCAGGAACAGCACACAGAGCTGTGTCACATGGAGGAACCTCACCCTGACCCCGAAACAGGCTCAGAAACAGCCAAAATAAAATGCAGGAACACACCACAGCTCACAGTCCCTGGGCTGCCTTTTTATATCCTTTCTTGCTTCACCGCCCATGAAATGTCTGAGACAAGGGGAGACCAGCAGCATTCCTTGGAACCACTGGTATGAAAAAACCGGAATATCCCAACTGATCCTGGCCTTGGGAGATGGCTCCTTGTCACTCATCCTCTGAACAGAAATGCTGTTCACACAGAGGGAGCCTGAGGGGACAGGGACAGTCCAGGGCCAGCGGGGGACCAGCAGGGCCACACCACTGCTCCTGTCCAGGCGAGGGGAGCAGGGGCAGCTCCTGCTGCCAGCCAGTCCTGTGGGAGCAGGAGCAGAGGAGATGGGAGGGGGGGAGTGTTCCTGTGAACTCCCCACAGGCAGGGGCAGCAACAGGCTCTGTGGGATGTCACCGTGCCTGGGACACAGGGGTGTGCTGCAAAAAGGAGCCTGAGGATAAAAACCCCAAAAGACTAAATGCAAAGTGCAATCCCATCAACAAAATCCCGAATCTGTTCTGCTGCTGTGCTTTGCTTAATTTTCTCACAAGATATAAAAATGCAAGAAATTCTTTTTCATGTGAGTTTTTTTCAGGGAGGGGGGAAGAGGAGTAAATGTGATAAACAGTGAATACTGCAAAGGTTGCTGTGACAGGCATGTGACTGTTTCCCCCCCAGCCCTCTCCCCTTGCAGGACCCAGGAGCTGTGCAGGAGTGTGGGCAATAAATGTCCTGGTGCTGCTCCGTGACCTCCCCCAGGTCACAGGGGATGGTAGAGATCTCCATGGGGAACACACACAACCTCCCTCCAACCAGAGAACAGCATTTCAGAGACATCTGAGGTTAGGGAGAGGCAAACAGAGGGCCCTGAATGTGAAAAGGGGAATTTCACAGCTCTGTGTCCTCACAGGGAAACAACATCTGTGTACAAGCTCCAGGACAGAGAATTGCTGTTGACATTCCTCTGTTATGACATGGAATGAATATTAAGCACCTTAGTTTCCATCTCCCCCCTTCACTTACCACTCCAAGATGAACAGAGGTTCCTGGCTCAGGGATGGTGAGTTTATGAAACGTTTCTAGGAGCTCACTCCTTTGACTATCCTGAAATAAGGAGGAAAAAAAAAGGAATACTAAGTAGGCATTGGTGCAATCGGGTTAACTCCAGGGCAGAAGGGTCAGATGATGCCAGGTGGGTAAACCTGGCATTAGTAAGGTTAGTTCTACACTTCCTGCACCCAACAATAACCTTGGATCAGCCCCTGTCAGAACATGGAATTGCAGGACTGCTGAGCACAGGGCAGGAGTCAGCCCAGCATGGGCCACTGCAGGAACCCAGGGACTGTGGTGGAGCCACAGCCACACCCTTGGGCTTCATCTTTTCCCAAAAATAATTTAAATGCATATTTATTTTTCAGAGGCACTTCCCAAGCTGAATATGACCTTCTATGTCACTGCATCATAGGGATTAATAATTCACATGGTCAGCTCTCATAGAAGCAGCTCTTCAACCAGTTCGTTTCATCCTCTCACCCCCATCTGATATTGGGCAGGGAAAAGGAGGGTCAGTATCTCAGAATAATACCTGTCCTTTTGCTGAATAATCTGCCAAGACATTGAGCAGCTTATAAAAGACTTCAAACCACGGGAGGTAACTGGAAAAAAAGAAAAAAAGAAAAAGCATACATTTAACTTGCTAAATCTCAGTTAATAAATCCAGGATCACCAGCCCTTATGCTACAGATGCATCCCAACGTGATGCTGCATAATTATCTGTCAGGAAAGCCACAGCAGACTTGCACTGGGAGGAGAGCTCTGCCAGGAGGCTGAGGGATCCCTCTCCTTGGAGGGCTGAGCTTCAGAGTTCACCCTTCCCCACTGCTGGGCACCACCCAGCCCCACAGCACCAGGGCTGCCCACCCTCACCAACACACACAGTCCCACACAAGGTTCAACCCCAAAGATCTCTGTGCACTGATGTCCATGTGTGCTGGAACATACTGAATGTCAAATAACTCTTCTCCTGTACAGCTGCTGAGGGTCCTTGGAAAGCCAAGACAGGCAGTTATTTTGGGTTTGAGTCCTCCCACAAGTGGATTTTTTAAACTGTATAACCAGTATCTCAGGTTTTAATTGTTGTCAGATCTCATCCCATCAGCGTGTTTAGCCTGGCCCTTACTTTGGTCAAACAGAAACTTCACATTTGCACACAACTTCCAAAAGAAAAGAAGAAACAAGATTCAAAGAGAAACATGCAGAAAAACCACAGCCTTTTCATTTGAATTACATCTCCACTGCCAAAGCAAGACAGAGAAGATGTTCCTTTCCACTAGAGCTTTGGGAGGGTTCTGTGCCCTGTTTCCATGGCACGGCTCTTTATTCCAACCCCTTTTCCCAGACCTGTGAGGGATTTCCCTGGGCTGCAGCGAATGCAAAGCCAGTGTGAGGCACTGCCTGATGCTGCTTTAACCACAGCTGCTTTCTGAAGCAAATGGGATCTACTGTGATATAGTGAGACAGGATCTAAAGTTTTTATAAAATATGACTCCATCCTGACAGCTGTAAGGAATGGAGTGCCCCGTGCTCTGCCTGGGCAGCTCTGGGTGATAAATGAGGTGAGAAGCTGTGTATGAGACAGACACAGGGACTGGCACTCCATCATTAGCCTTTGTTTGAAGCCTGCAAATGCTACTGTAAAATGTAAGTAGCTTATCAAAATATACTGATAAGCAACTTAACTTTTCATGTTATATGACAGTATTATCGTTTAAATTAATACGCTCCAAACATCTTTACAAAGTGTGTATTGGAATAGAGCAGAAAGACAGACAATTACCACTTTAAACAGCATTTAAGTTTGGCATTATATTGTAAACAATCCAGAAGGATTAGGTAGAAGATAAGTTTCTTTCTTTCTGTTTAGTTAAATAAACTTCAGCAGAGTTAAAAGCCATTACAAGGGTAACAAGAAATCCTCTCCAAACATATCTGCTAAGTAGAGATTAAGAACCTGGTAAACAAATCCGAGCAAGGCATCTATCAAAAGAGTTTGAGAAGACAGGAAACCAAGGAGGCAGAAAGCTCCCTGGCAGTGGGAAACCACAGCTGCTTCCAGGGAGGCACAATTAAAGTTCTTCTTAATCGCTCGGGGACCTTCTGGAAAACTACATTTACAAGTTGCTGCCAGCAGTGCCTGCGAGTGGGGAAGCTGCAGAGCTGCACTGACAGAGCTGAAACGAGAACCTTTAAAGCTGCTCCTGTGTTTATGATGTATGTGCATCAAAGCAAAGAGGCAAAGCAGGTTCCCCAGGCTCTGAGGGTGACCATGGAGCAGGTCCTGGCAGCACAGGGACCCAGTGGGACAATGCTGAGCCCCCGGACCAGGGTCAGGGGCTGCTGCTCACACACTGCTCTGCCCTGCCAGGGGCCTGGGTGCACTTCTGTTACACCCCTTGGCTTTCCCTTTTCCCCTCACCAGTATCCTCTGATGAACCTCATGTCCTTTTTGTAACTTTAACTATTCCTTGTTTTCCAGGTGATGGTTTAACATCTCAGCTTTAACTGCTTCTTCTTCTATTTTGAGAATAACATCTCAGTTTGAGAAGTGTCACAGTCTGGGAGCACAGGAAATGAGCTGGTACTTGAAGCAGAACTCAGCACTCCACAACACACAGGGAGCTGTGAGGCTTCGCTCAAGAGAGGGGCAAGACAAGATAAAACAAACCCACCACAGAATTGTGGGAATTCTGTAGACAATCTCACTTCAGTTTTCACCTCTCCCATTGCCACAGCACGATTCAGGACCTCTCTCAGCCCAAAAGTTTTGGATACATTAGAAAGCTAATTTATCCTGCCACCTTCAATACTTTTACTTCATCACTTATTCCATGTGTTGACTACTCAATAGTGAAACAGTTCTGCTTTTATTAGACCAAACTGTGACCGGTTAAAGTTGAAAAAAAAACTAAAAAAAAAACCCCAAGCAATATAGTTATCTCAGTTTGTTTCTAGATCTCTGCAAAAGGAAAAAAAAAGTAAATATGTGAATTTTTCTTACAAAAAGCAAATTCTCAAGGCAGCCTTTAAACACCCCTCCAAAGAAACAGAGGTTGAGTTTATAACCCAAAACTTTCTGTGCCGCATGAACTTAAGTAGCACAACTGGTAGCACTACAGAAGATTTATGGCTTATGACTTGCTCATATTTAATTTGTAACCAAACACTTCCCCTTCCTCTTAGCTACCTCAGAAGTTTTGATTAACTCTTGTTTTCACAGGTCAGAGGTTAAGCAAAGGAAGGGAAGCTCTGCAGTGAAGTTGCCCAGAGCTCTGAGCTCGCACAGCCCCCGCCAGCAGCACCAAACCAGCCCCAAACCGGGCTCCACTCACGGGCCTGAGGTTCAAAGACTCCAATGAGCATAAATCACACTGGGGTGGAAGAGTAAACAAAAATAAAAGGGCAATCTGAATTAATTCTTTTTTAGCTTCACCAGTTTCCTCACAGGATAGCAACACAAGTGCCACAAGTCCTGGGAATCCAATCAGAGCCTCGGCAAACGGGGCTTCTCCAGGCTGAGGGACGGGCTCAGCACTGGGCTGGCCTGTGCTTGGAACCTGGGGTGTGACACAGCTGGGGACAGCCCCGGGGGGACAGCCCTGCGGAGACAGTCCTGGAGAGACAGTCCTGGAGAGACAGCTCAGGCTGAGCCAGTCCTGGCTGAGCCAGCCCAGGTGCCCCAGCCCTGGCTGATGGAAGCAGGGCCGGGCACAGGAAGGTGCTCCCTGTGCTCCACCGGGTCTGCACAGACTCTCCTGCACAGAGCCTCATTCACTGATGCCTCACATGTCATCACCTTTTCAGTGCCCCCCTCAAAAGCACAGAACACCATTGGTTCCGTGTGTCACAGCAATCAGGGGCTGGCAGGGCACTCAGACAGCAGTGCTGTGCTGCCTCCTGCAAACACAAAGGGTCCCAAAACGTGGGGCTTGAACAGACGTGAAAAACCAACAACTGTTGGGCCAGCTGAGACAACAGCAGAGGGAGGAAAAGAAGGAATTAGCAGGAAGCCCAACCCAGCCATGGCTGTGGGCTGGCTGTTTGCAGGTCTGGGGCTCACCTTTCCCAGGGCAGACCTGCAGGGAGAAGCAGAGCCTTGGAAGGGGCTGGGGAGGGCAGAGGGACAGGGAAGGCCCACGAGCCCATCTGCACTCCCTAAGTCACACTGATCAGAAGATGCCATCACCCAGCATCAGTTGCTGCCCAGAGGAAAATGCCCTGCACTCAACAGAGCTTGGAATTGTTCAACAAACTCATCCACTTTAACACAGGAAGGGAAAGAATTCTCTGCCACAGCAGCACAGGGCAGGTCACTGCTCTGCCCTTCTGAAAGGGCTGCACCCAAAGGGGGGACTCTGCAGCCCCTCTGAAGTGAAGCAGCTGCACTGACATGGCCATGTGCACACACACACATACATGTACACAGACACACACATGTGCACACACACACACGTACACACATGTGCACACACACACATACATGTACACACAGACACACACATGTGCACACACGTGCACACACATGTACACACATGTGCACACACATGTACACATGTGCACACACATGTGCACACACACATACATGTACACACACATGTACACACATGTGCACAAACACACATGTGCACACACACATGTACACACACATGTACACACATGTGCACAAACACACATGTGCACACACACACACATGTACACATACACACACATGTGCACACACAGACACACACACACACACGTGTGCAACAGGGTCACTGCAGCCCAGCCAGACCCCACACAACTCCTTTCAGAGATTCTGAGCTGCCAACACAATGAAATGAGGCACAAAAGTGGATTTCCGGGAGCTTCCTACTCATTAAACACTTAATGCAAAGGCATTTAAAACCAAAACAATTATTAGCATTGCCTACAATCAACTGCTGGGGTTTTTAATGATTAAAAAGAAATCCCCCCTCCAGCTGAGTCGTACCAGGGAACACGAACTGAAACAAACACTTCACCTTGAGCCAGGTCAAACACTGCCCACGGATGCAGGGCAGAAAGGCCACAATGGCACACCAGAAATGATGCCCTGTTTTAATCTGCTTCCAGCCCAAGCCAGAAGATGCACAAGAACACGCAACAACTCTAAGAATAGCAGAGGGGAAATCTTTAAGAAACCATCAACACTGGCAGCCAGCTGAAAAGATGCCTTCCTCAGAAAAAACCAGCTGTTTCTTCTCCAGTTCTGAGGCACTGTTAATGAAGAGAGGGTTTGATAAGACATGTCCTTTCCTCGAATGTGAAAGTCCCACCATTATGATTTCTTTTGATATTTTTTGAGCGCTCATTAACATGAAGGGGAGTCCCAAGCACAGCATGGACCTCTCAAATCCCTCAGTTATCCCACAGATACCATGTCCATGCCAGGGCAGAGAGGGGCAAACACATGGTGTGGAACCAGGAACTCAACTTTCTGCTGGAAAGGGAAATCTCCAGTGAAGTCAACCTAAAAAAGGGAGGGATTTTCCAGTGTTACCTGCAGCAGGAAACAGCAGGAAACCCAAGGGTGCAAGAACCTGTGAATGCTGAACTCAGCAGAACAACTCCCATGGAACAC